ACTGGGGGCGATGGCTGGACTAAATAAGTTCGCTTCGGTAATAAATTCCAACTAAACATCATAAATACAAATTGTATTTGTTGAGTTAACGGATTTAATTGCCTAAAAAAACTTAAAGAATTGTGCTCTCCTGCATTTCTGCCACATATGAGAAATGCAACTGGACACCAATTACATCCGCCTAAGATGAAATTATAATTTTCATACTTGCTTAGTTCCCGCTTTCAATTACAAATGTAGCTAGGATCCTTAGCATATAGCATGAAACACAAATGCCTAAATTTCGGAGTAAAAACAAACCTCCAACCTAGGTGGTTGCTATCAAAAGGGTGCCTCTAGATATAACCTATACTCCAGTTTAACTCTTGGCACCATAAATAGCGGGGAATGACTCAGTTGGTCACGTAATGTCCTGTTACAATTCAAAAATGATATTATACAACCGACCATAGTATTAATGACAATATAATAATATAAAAATATCCTGACTTCTCATATTTCAAAACCCATAAGAAGTCCAACTCCTTCGGAAAGTTGTTCCCATAAATTTTGTAACAGAGGTCCACGAACATCTTATCATCTCCCAAAATGACACAAGTAGAGTGAGGTAGACCGGGACATCCCAATAGAGTCCTCCCGTTCCTCACCCATACCCCATAACGGGAGAACTTGATGATAAGATGTTCGCAGACCTCTGTTACAAAATTCATGAATAGCGATGCATGAATTTTTCCAACGAGCACTATGAATAGAAACTCATGAATTTTTCCATTTAAAGTGCTGTGAATTACGCTTTCGGGTAAACCACCATGAGGACGATGCGGAATAACGTCATAGTATAGACCATGAATTTCCCTACAAGAGGTGCCCACCTAGAAGGAGACCAGTACCAAATTCTAACTAAACATCATGAATACAAATTGTATGAAAAAGCAAACCAATTGAAACATACTATGATTGACAAGAATAACATAGGAGATTCAAAATGGATCGAATTGAAATTTGGGCTATGGTGGTCCTATTTCAACAAAAAAAAACAGGTTGAATTTTAATGCAAGACGTTGTATTAGAAGTTTGATTTGATGACTCCAAATGAAAATATGAAATTTGGTGCGACCAAATGAAAATGGGAAATTTGGTGCGATTAAAATCAGCAGTGTAGGAGGAAGAAAACTTCTTGAATATAATTTATTCAATTCATTAAGCACCTTTGGATTTGCTGCACATGGGCAGAGATGGGCGGAGAGACTGGGGGAGATGGCTGGAGTAAATAAGCTCGCTTCGGTAACAAATTTTAACTAAACATCATAAATACAATTATATTTGTCGAGTTAACGGATGTAATTGCCTCAAAAAAAAGTTTGGTGATTTTTTTCTCCCAATGTTTCCTTTTATAAAAGTAATTTGCGGGGCCGCTCCGTAAGAAAAAGCATCTCCGGATCGTCCTCTGAGCCCATCGCTTCGCCCCCCAAAAAAATAAAAACCCTCAAAGAAAAGTAAAACGATGAAGTTGAACAATAAATCAATCAAAAAGTTAACTTTACTTCTCTGTTCGTCTGGATCAAAACCAACACACAGAGAGAGAGAGAGAGAGAGAGAGGCTTGGACTGAAACAGAGAGAAGAACAGTCCACAAATGACACAGTAGGGCTCTAGGGCAAGAGAAAGAGAAAGAGAGAGAGAGAGAGAGAGAGAGAGAGAGAGAGAGATTATGCATAAATTAGGTTTTACTTTTGGGGAGAAGAGTTCATGGGTTCTTGAATTCCTTTTAGGCTTTCATTGAAATTTCATTTCTCAAACTTTTGTTAGTAATACGAAATTTTCTTCTCTCATCTCTTTCATTTTCACCATTTTAGAAAACTTGGTTTTCTTTTTGGTTTGTTTGAGAGTGTTCATGACATAGAAATGGGTTTTCAATATTTCATTTTGAAAGCTACTTTTTTTTTAGAAAATCTGACCATAGCTTTGCATATCAAAGTTTTAATCTCTCATCTCTTTCATTTGCACCATTTTGGAAAACTTAGTTTTCTCTTTGGTTTGTCTGAGAGTGTTCATGGCTTCTGGAAATAAGGTTTTCAAATAGCTTTTGATATATGCTTCTATTTTCTCAATCCACTTCACCCATTGAGACTTTTTAGAATTAAACTTTTACTTTGCATTCTCTACTTTGTGAGGTTTGGATTTTCATTATGAGATTTTGAAAATTGGTTTTTGAAATTTGCATCTAGGGTATAGTTTAAACACTTCATCATCCTAGCTAGATCAGATTTTTTGTTGATTTCTTCAAGAAGATGGTTTCTTGAAGAAATTGACCATTTCATTCTAGAATCTATATTTCATTTATTGGTGACGATCCGGAGCTGAGTTGCAGTGCCATGGGGTGAAGAAGCTGATGGACTAGCTGCCATTTCCACGAAGGACAAGCTACTAGCTCAACTAAGTTTGGAAAAGAAGGTTGCACAAGGAGGTAGTGCTCATTTCCTAAATAGACATAGGATTGTTTGAGCTTGTGATTACTTTTTTTGTAAGAATCTTCTTCACTTAGTGGATTGCCTGGTCGGAGTGATGACCTGCAGTTTTTCCCAATGGTGGGTTTCTGGGTGAACATTTTTGGTGTGTTGTTATTGATTTTATGATTAGTCATACTGTATCTGTTATCTCTGAAATGCTGATAAATGTTCACACACCTTTCACTCTAGTTGTTGCTAGCACATGAGATACCTAAATTGACGGGTCTTTCTGAGTGCCTTGGTTGTCATATAGTTCTCTTTTAGGCTTGCAAGTTTTAACATTTGATTTGTGGTAAGTATGTGCTGGACTTGTTTGTGGTAAGTATGTGCTGGACTAGTAATTGACTAGTCATATTTTAATTTACCCACTTCACCTAAGTACCAATTTCAATCTTCAAGAATAGAACCTTAACTCGTACACGAAGCCAACCAACATGTACAATCCAGTCCAACTAAAATTTGCTAAGTTTGTAGATTTTACACTTCCACCCAATTTAGGATAAAATCCAATCCAATCCTTTTCATATGCCTAATTGGAAAGAAAGGAAAGAAAAATATTGAAACATAAAGAATTGTCATAAAATAAAATCCAAATTTTCGAATAATCAAATATAGCATGAATATTGGGTAGTAAAGGAAATGTATGTGGCAAAAGTAATTCCCTTCAAAAGGTTTTAGCTTATGAATAATTTTCATTGTTGTAATTAAATGCATATAAACTTTCTGTCAAAGCTTTGCCTTTATGAGAGACCAAAATGATACGAAAGGGCCAATGGGTTCCCACCACAGTGGTAGTGGATTCCCCCTTCCCCCCATGGCACCCAGGATTGAACCCCAGTGGGGTTTCTTTCCTTCAATGTAACCGAAAAAAAAAAAAAAGATACGAGAGGGACCGCATATAGAACAGTTGTTCTTGGCACGTGCCATGTGATCAAACTCATGTGCACATAAACAGAGTATTTTAGAGTTTGAACACATCAAAATCTTTCTCACTGCAAATTTGGTCACCACCTTGAATCAAGCATGCAGCATTAAAAACAATCTAGATTGTGACATATGTTAACTACGGTTAACCCTTGATATTAACAACTACAATCAAATGATCCACTAAGTAAAATGGGGAGACAGAAATTTACCTATCAACACAGAATATATGTTTTTCTTCTATTCTTTATCCACAAATCCTTGAAAGGAACCAACTTTTGTCCTGGTTTTAGAGAATTCAGGGCAATTTGATGATTGAAGTGTACGTATTCCACCATCACTAGGAACCAAATGGAGATTTATAGAGATTAAATTTATAAGACAATCACTAAAGGGGTAACTTGAAGAGACATGCAGAGCTTTGAGTTTGAGGTGCATAAGAAAAAAAGAAACAAAGAAACAAAGCTTAAAGAGGATTGCTTGCTTACCCAGAAAAACAGAAAATGCTTGCATAGGAATGCTTGATCCTCGGTTGAAGCGAGTGCTGTCTGTGTTTGTTAGTTTGAAGAGAAAAAACTCCTCTGAGTTTGGGCATCAAGTAAAGAGGGTTACTCTTAGCTGTTTGTTTGAAGAGAAAGGTGAGTACTTTTTCTTCTCCTTCTGGGTAATTTGGCAGTAAAAAGAGTGAGTGTTTGTTTGTTTAAAGAGAAAAAAGTTATTTTCTCAGTATTTTGACAGAAAATCAAGGCGAACTGCGAAGAAGACCAGGCCCTCTCTCTCTCTCTCTCTCTAGTTTGTCTCTTTTTTACATAATTTTGTTCTATATTAGGTTAATTCCTGTGTAAACAAAAGTAGATTTACTTTTCTTCTTTTTTTAAATGAAAAGTTTTACTTTTCCTTTTGGACCCAGAAATACAAACCCATCAAATCTAAAAAAATTCATGTGATTTGTACATTAATAAACAAATTGCATGAATTTTTAAAATTAGAAAAAATAGGTTTGAGGATAAAAATAGAAAAATGATTCTATTAGAAGAAAAAAACTTGTACAGGAGCATAATATTGTATTATTTATGAAGGGAACTTGATTAGTACATGTCACTATTTGGATGGAAGGGTAATGCTAGTATGCTACACCTTGGTTAAAAATGATGAACAAATTTGCACTTAATCCTATTTTTTTATACAAAGAAAAACATGAATGAATCAAATGAATGCAGTTGAGGATTTAATTCATGAACAAGGCTTAGTGCTAGTGATGGAATTAGATGTATACTTTAAATATTCTTAATTGCCTTTAAGCATACATATACTGTTGGTCTTAGTGTTGGTGAGATGGATTAGTTAATAAGATTTGCCTTCCTTAACATACTGTACAACAAACCAACTAAATATGCGTTGCCTAATTTTAAAGAGCCAGAGAGGCACACAACTCAACTTTGCAAATCCTGCAGAGAAATTCTTGCACAGCCTCTCAAATAAACCAACCAAACAGACCTTTCCTCTCAATATAATCTCCCTTGCTCCCCCTCTCTTCCTCATCAGCCTTGGGCCTAAAAACCAAACAATGAAGGCTGCCTATTTTCTAGTTTTCTTTTTTCTCTACTCCTCCTTCTCATCTTTCTCTTCTGCTCTAACTGATGCTGAAGCGTCCTTCATTGCCCGTCGCCAGCTCCTACATTTTCACGCAGGCCATGACCTGCGCGGCGACCATGAATATGAAGTTGAGTTGAACTTGAAGTTTCCACATCCCAGGCTTAGACGTGCATACGTTGCACTTCAAGCTTGGAAAAAGGCCATTTACTCAGACCCTCTTAAAACTACTGAGAACTGGGTTGGTGCTAATGTTTGTGCTTACACTGGAGTATTTTGTGCCCCGGCTCTTGATGACCCACAGTTAGAGGTTGTGGCTGGCATTGACATCAACCATGCAGACATTGCAGGGTACCTTCCTGTTGAATTAGGCATGTTGAGTGACATTGCCGTGTTCCACATCAACACGAACAGGTTCTGTGGTATCATCCCTAAGAGCTTTGCTAGGCTAACTCTTCTCCACGAGCTCGACGTTAGCAACAACCGCTTTGTGGGATCGTTCCCGGAGGTGGTCCTGCAAATTCCAAACCTCAAGTACCTTGACCTCAGGTTCAATGACTTTGAGGGGAAATTGCCTCCTGAGCTCTTCAACAAGGAATTGGATGCCCTGTTCTTGAACAACAACAGGTTCACATCCACCATCCCTGACACTCTTGGCAACTCCCCCATCTCTGTTCTTGTGGTCGCAAACAATCATCTCGAGGGCTGCATCCCTAATAGCATTGGAAAAATGGTAAACAATTTGAATGAGGCCATCTTCTCCCACAACAAGTTTGCTGGGTGTTTGCCTCCTGAAATTGGGTACCTCTCAAACGTGACTGTGTTTGATGTTAGTTCAAACACATTGAGTGGGCTCCTGTCCAAGACTTTCAAAGGCCTTGAGAAGGTGGAGGAGTTGAACATTGCACACAACATGCTAACTGGGTTTGTTCCCAAGAGTCTCTGCAAATTGCCTAGCTTGGGAAATTTTACGTTTTCCTACAACTACTTCAACGGCGAGGATCAAGAATGTGTGCCACCTTCTCGGAAGGACACACTGTTTGATGACACAAGCAACTGCTTACCAAATAGGCCTAAGCAGAAGTCAGCAAAACAATGTCAAGTTGTGGTGAACAAGCCAGTGGATTGTGGCAGGGCAAAGTGCGGAGGTCGACCAGCACCTTCAAAACCTTCTTCTCCTGCACCCAAGGAGGAGCCACCCAAACAACAACCTCCTAAAGAGGAACCACCCAAACAACAACCGCCCCAAGAAGAAACTCCCACACTAGAGCCACAACCACCTAAACCAGAGCTATCTCCGGAGCCAGTTCCAGAGACTCCAGAACCAGTTGCCAGCCCCCCTCAAATAGTGGTAGCACCATCACCACCCCCACTCACACCCACAAGGCAAAGTCCCATTGTTCCGGTTCTCCCTCACCCACCACCAGTTCACTCTCCACCACCACCAGTCCACTCTCCACCACCGCCAGTTCACTCGCCTCCTCCACCAGTGCATTCACCTCCACCACCAGTTCACTCTCCACCACCACCAGTCCACTCTCCACCACCTCCAGTTCACTCGCCTCCTCCACCAGTGCATTCACCTCCACCACCAGTTGACTCTCCACCACCACCAGTCCACTCTTCTCCACCCATAGTCAACTCGCCCCCACCACCAGTACAATCTCCTCCACCTCCAGTTCACTCTCCACCACCCCCAGTCAACTCTCCACCACCACCACCCACCCAGTCTCCACCGCCTCCAGAAAACTCCCCTCCACCACCTTCTCCTTCTCTTTCACCTCCTCCTCCCGTTGTCTCATCACCCCCTCCAGTAGATGACTTTGTTCTGCCACCAAACTTCGGCTCCCAATACTCATCTCCACCTCCACCAATGTTCTCGGGCTACTAAGCAATATGATATCAGACGCTCCAGAAAGCAACTGTTTTTAATTTTTTATATATATAAATTATACAATCTCACATAAACGCACCCACTATTGTTAGTTGATCATAGCTTGTACTTCATGACATCAATCAAAGTGTAAATCTTCTTTCATATGCCTACTTAATGCAATAAAGGAAATTTTACATTCATTGATATTTTGCTTTTTGCTTTGTTTTAATATTCTGTTTGATGTGCATCAATGAAACTCCCATCAAATCATATCCAAACCACAAATTTTAATATAATTAATAATGGTACAAATAATGGAATGCAAAGGCCATGTACATAGTTCTAATTTTAGATATCTGATTTTGAGTATGAATCTGATGATTTGACTATTGAGAATCAAAATTTATTGTATACAAATCCTGGACGGACGATGAGGAAGAGGTCGTCCCTCTTTGTATAGACGCCTTGAATTGTATAGAAGCCTTCTTCGCCTATGCAGTTCTTGTATCTCTTTCTCTGGATGGGGTGAGATTGCTTTTGAGAGTAGTTAACTGCTAGGGAAGGGACTGCTATTTATATGCATTTAGATCAGGTATTTTGCCCATCGAAGAATACCTGATCCTATCTTGATTGCATTAGAATTAAGTGTTTCAATCCATATGTGATTAGGAATTCTCAAGGTTCTAGTTTTCCAATTAATATTGCACTTTAACTAGAACTGCAGATCTGCTCTAATCCTATTTCTTGACTAACACCAAAGCTGCAAACCTCATGTGATTAGAAGACCATCTCAAAGTGGATTAAGACGATGCAATGTCTTACAGTCTCCCACTTGGTCAAATAATCACAACAGTCCATGGTGTAATCACTTTAAGGCCTTGTGAAGCAAGATAGAGCAATTCCTACTAAGCCACTGTCAATTATGAAAAAACTCCAGTGAACTATCGAAATTACTTGAACAAAAACATTTCAAGATTCCTATAATTACAACTGAAATCCTTCAAAACCACATAAGGCTTCGATCAAGATTGAAACCAGAAATCTGCATGACTTAACTATCTGTACAAAACAAGTCATGCTTCATTCATTGTCCCCTCAATGACTACTAAGGCCTAATTGCAAAACTGCACAAATGTCATGAATATACTGTATTATAGCAGTTACTTTATTTGCTAGCTATTACTGCCTTACATATACATTCAAGTATGAAATATAACCAAGCAGATTAATTAATGAAATAAAACAAAACAACACTTTATAAATCCTCAAGCTCCCAGATCATCCATCGAAACTTCTACCAATTAAACAAAACATAACCACTAATCTTAAAGCAAAACTGAAATGCTCCCACTGATCTAGCCACTCCGATCTTCCATTAATCCCATATTCTGAACATGTCTATGAAAAGCTTCCTTTGGCAGTCCTTTAGTGAGAGGATCTGCAACCATGTCATTTGTGCTGATATGATCCAAAATTGTGTAGCCATCTCTTATCTTTTCTTTAACTGTAAGAAACTTTACATCCAAAATCCTTGAAGCCTTTGTTCTTTTGTTTCCTTTTGCAAACAAGATTGCTGCACTATTATCATTCCACAGCTGTACAGGTTTATGTATAGAGTCCACTACTTTCAAGCTTGTAATAAAATTCTTCAACCACATTGCCTGTGCAGTAGCTTCATAACATGCTAAAAATTCTGCCAACATTGTAGATGCCACTGTGAGAGGTTGCTTGATGCTTCTCCAAGATATAGCAGCACCTCCAAATGTAAACACATATCCTGATGTTGACCTGAGATCATCCTTACAACCTGCAAAGTCTGCGTCTGCAAATCCTTCTAATTTCAAACTGTCACTTCTTTTAAATACCAACTTGTAATCCATAGTCCTTTTCAAATACCTTAACACCCTTTTGCCTGCAACCCAATGTGCCTGTCCAGGATTAGCTTGAAACCTTCCTAACACACTAATAGGAAAAGCAATGTCAGGTCTGGTGCATACTTGCGCATACATCAGACTTCCTACCAAAGAGGCATAAGGTTTGTCACTCATTTCAGCCCTTTCTTGCTCAGTTCTTGGTGCCTGTTCTCTGCTCAGTTTGTCTCCTTTTGAAATAGGCATGTCAGTTCCACCACATTCTAGCATATTAAACCTTTTCAATACTTTTTCTATGTAGTTCTTCTGTGATAAACCAAGAGTTCCTTTCTCTCGATTCCTGCTGATTGCAATTCCTAAAACATAGGTTGCTTCACCAAGATCTGTCATCTCAAAATGTTTGGACAAGAATTCTTTGCAGTTATGCAACATTGACAAATCTGTACATGCCAATAAAATATCATCCACATACAGTACTAGTATGATGAAATTCCTCCCACTCATTTTCATGTAAATACATTCATCCAATGCATTCTCTGTAAAACCGTATTGTTTAACAACTTCATCAAACTTAATGTACCATTGTCTTGAGGCTTGCTTAAGACCATAAATTGATTTACACAATTTGCATACAAGATTTTCTCCCTTCTCTTGAATGAAACCCTCTGGTTGTTTCATATATATATCCTCCTCTAGATTTCCATTCAAGAATGCTGTCTTTACATCCATTTGATGCAAGTGTAAATCAAAATGAGCCACTAGTGCCATTATCACTCTAAATGAGTCTTTGGTCGAGACTGGTGAGTATGTTTCATTGTAGTCTATCCCTTCTTGCTGTGTGTATCCCTTGGCAACTAGTCTTGCCTTATACCTATCAACTTGCCCTTTAGAGTTTCTCTTAGTTTTGAAAACCCACTTGCAGCCTATAGGTTTACAACCTTGTGGCTGGTTAACTAGTTTCCATACACCATTCTTCTCCATAGAACTCAGTTCCGATTTCATAGCTCCCCACCAATTTTCACTCTTCTCACTGGACATGGCTTGCTTATAGTTTATAGGATCTTCAATTGAATTTACATCATGCTCAGATTCTTGTAAATAGACATAGTAATCATCTGGTAATGCTCTTTTCCTTGGCCTCTGAGATCTTCTTAATTCTATGTCCATTTGATTATTGGTTTGTTCTGCAGGCAGATTCACATTTGTGTTTTCTGGTGGCAAATCCTGCATATCTTGATTTTCTTGCTCAAGTATCATTTGATCTTCAACTAAAACATCTTCTTGTACAGATTGCATGCCACTCAAGTCAAAACTAGGCAGTGTAAGAATTCTGCTATTTGTATCAGAAACCACTGTTTCTGTATTTTCTGTCACTACTTCATCAAAATCAAAATTTTCTTCTTCTGTTACCTCAGTTTCAGACTCAATAAATACTGCTCTTTGTGTTTCTACGAATCTAGTTGTGTTTTGAGGGCAGTAGAACCTGTAGCCTTTAGTCCTTTCTGGATAGCCAACAAAATAGCCACTGGTTGTTCTTGAATCCAACTTTTTCTCCATAGGATTGTACAGTTTTGCTTCTGCTTTACAACCCCAAACTTTCAAGTGATTCAAGCTTGGTTTTCTTTTCACCCACACTTCATAAGGGATAGCATTCACACTTTTAGTAGGTACCCTATTTAATATGTAGTTTGCAGTTTTTAAAGCCTCTCCCCAAAGAAATATCGGCAATTTGGTACAACACATCATGCTTCTCATCATATCCTTTAGAGTTCTGTTTCTTCTTTCTGCAATTCCATTCTGTTGTGGAGTGCCTGGATTAGTATACTGTGCAATAATTCCCTCTTGTTGCAGGAACTTAGCAAAAGAACCAGGATTTCTCCCAGTTTCATCAAACCTTCCATAATACTCCCCTCCTCTGTCAGATCTAACTACTTTGATCTTTAGGTCCAACTGTTTTTCAACCTCGGCTTTATAGATTTTAAACATGTCCAAAGCACTGGATTTCTCTTTAATAAGAAAAACATGTCCATATCTAGAGTAATCATCTGTAAAAGTTATAAAATAGTTGAACCCTTCATGAGTTGGAGTTGGAAAAGGCCCACAAATATCTGTGTGTATTAGTTCCAGCAACCCTTTGCTTCCTATTGCTCCTTTCTTCCTTAAATTGGTTAATTTTCCTTTTACACATTCAATGCATACTTCTTCTGTGTTATGATTCAAAGGTGGTATGACTAATTCTTTGCATAGAATTTTAATTCTTTCCTTTGAAACGTGACCAAGTCTCTTATGCCACAGAGTGTATGAGGCTTCTTTATTTGTTTGAGTTTCAACAGAGTTAATTTCCATGGTTGTTTTGCAGCTTAATCGAAACATGCCATCAACAAGACTTGCTTTTCCAACTAATTCTTTATTTCTGAAAATAGAACAACCAAAATCATCAAAGTTCAAAGTGAACTTTGACTTTACAAGCCTAGCAACTGAGATTAGGTTCTTCCTCATAGTAGGAACATAAACCACATCTTCTAATTCTAAAACAAAACCAAAAACTAATTCAATCCTAACTACTCCAATAAAATCAACTTGAACTTTCTCTCCATTGCCTACGAACACCTTCACTTCATCCTTGCTTGGCAGCCTCTTCCTTATGAACCCCTGCAAAGAATTAGCCACATGAATAGATGCACCACTGTCTAACCACCATGAATCACATGAAAAATCAACTAAATTTGATTCAAAACAAACCAGAATCTGATCAGTGTTACCTTTAGCCTTTTGTTTGTCCAACCAATTCTTGTACCTCCTACATTCCTTCTTCATATGTCCATTTTTCTTGCAGAAGAAGCATTTTATTCCTACTGGCTTGAGAGCACTTGAATTATCCCTTTCTTTCTGCTTACTAGTTTCAGAGTTTTTGTTCCACTTGTGCTGCTTTGCCTGAACCATATTTACTACCTTAGCTCCCCTTTCTCTTATCAGATTGTCCTCAATTTCGACACTTATGGTGATGAGATCATTGAGTGTCCAACTTTCTTTCTGAGCTATATATGTATTTCGAAGAGATTTGAACTCCTTAGGCAGTGAGTTCAATGCAAAATGCACCATCATATCCTCATCTACTGTCATTTTCAGCTCTTGTAGTTTTGCTCCAATGTCAATCATATTCATGATATGAGCCCTCACACACCCTTGCCCATCATACTTCATGCCAGTCAGTTTGTTCAGTAGTGAGCTTTTGGCAGATTTTTCAGAAACTTTGAACCTCTGAGCTATGAACTCATAATACTCCTTTGCAATTTCAGTTTTTGGAATACTGCCTTTGAC